TCAGTAAAGAAGGAAGCGAAAACTGTCAAAAACGCCCTGATTCAGGCCCTCAATCCTGCAGTCAGGGTACAGTCTCGCTGCTGACGCTGAGCCGTTCCGGGGGAGGGGGGGGCTGGGTTTGGCGCGGCGTGGGCCTGTTCTCCACCAGTTGTGCAAGCTAGCGAACGATCACTATTGGCGGACAACAGGCCGGCGCCGCCCCAAAACCGCTCCACCCTACCTCCCCTCCCTTGTAACGCCCCAGCGTCCGCAGCGAACAAGACTATACAATTCCGAGCTAAAAACACTCAGTACATCCACGAGAGAGCGAGACAACGACTAAAGTGGGGTAAAGCGCAAGCGAGATTGCTATTTTCTACAGTGGGCATCTTTAGTAATGACGGCGTCGACAGGCATCTTTTGCGAGCCTCTGGTATGCTTACGGCGCACTTTCGAGTTCGCGAAAGGGTTTGGAGTTTCTGCGATTGTGGTTCTTTACATGACATGCACGCAGAATTCAGCGAGTCAACTAATCATAGGACGTCTTTCAAAAAAATCAAATTGGCCCTAAATTCGATTTATTGAGTTATTATTCTAAATATTTGGAGGACGGGGGCGAGCTTTGTTTGTATTGCAACGCATAATGAAAATTACACTTCATTGAAGGAGGCTACTTCTGGGCCTATATGGCTCACTCTCACGTATAAACATAAAACGAAAGAACGCATGGCCATCCGCATACCTCTCCGTGCAGGTGAGCAAGTTCATAAATGTCTCATCATCGAAAGAATACAACGTATAACAGTTGGAAGAGAGATGTTCGACAAGGGCCAGGGAGTGGGATTGCGAGGTCGAAAAAAAAAAAAAGGGTTGGGGGGGGGGTTCAAATGTGGGCTGGCAAGTGGTTTTTTGGCCTTCACGACCTGTAGCCGTTTTTGACAATGAAAAACTGTTACAGAAAGCCGGGTTAGACCAGTGGGGGAAATCCGCGCCGAGCGAGGGTGCGCATCTCGAGTTTAAATAAGGCTGCGTTTATACTTTGCGGCAGCGTAGCGTAGCGTAGCGCAGCGTAGCGTAGCGCTTCCAGCGTACGCCAGCGGCAGTGCCGAAGAGAGGATGCATATCGATCTAGCTTCACCAGCGTCACCAGCGGCACGCTGGCGTACGCTAGCGGCACGCTAGCGTACGCCAGCGTTTCTCCAGCGTTTCACCAGCGTTTTGCTAGCGCTTGCAGCGGCAGGGGAGTAGAGACTATGGGAGAGCTGGAGGGTACAAAACATCGATTGCGCGTCTCCCACTCGCCCTTAGTCTCTACAATGCACATCGCTTCTGCGTCTCCGACGGCCCCATAGTCTCTACGATGCACATTGCTTCTGCGTCTCCGACGCCACATAGTCTCTACAATGCACATCGCTTCTGCGTCTCCGACGGCCATATGGTCTCTACAATACACGTCGATTCCGCTTCTCTCACGGCCACATAGTCTCTACTCCCCTGCCGCTGCAAGCGCTAGCAAAACGCTGGTGAAACGCTGGAGAAACGCTGGCGTACGCTAGCGTACGCCAGCGTGCCGCTGGTGACGCTGGTGAAGCTAGATTGCGATACAGTGCGATCCTCTCTCGCCACTGCCGCTGGACGTACAGCTGGAAGCGATCTACGCTACGCTGCGGCAAAGAGTATAAACCGCATGCCTGACCAGTGGCTGCAGTTATAGTGAAAAATTGAATTATCAGACCTCGAATCGCCAGTTGTGCGACACGACCTGTCATTTGTACCTGCATGGACTACTTGGTACCGGTAAGCGACCGCCCACTGCTGGAAACTGCACGGCACAAAAATGTGACGCCGGGTGAAGGACATACTCGAAAAAATCGGGTAGGCGTGGTGCATGCTTCAAGCTGAAACCTGAGATGTCAATGCTTCTCTGGGATTTCTCATCTTGACCACAATTGAGTTGGTCGTGTCTCTAGTCCAACCAGAACAAGAGACAGTTGTTCGCAGACTGAATATTGCCACAAAGTAACCAATTCGCTGCCACGTCCTACTCTGGCTCAGGGATGAGGAATATACTTACCAACAATCATAAGAAGAAGTGGGCGTAGACCGCGTCCACACTGGTTAGGCTGCGTTTATACTTTGCGGCAGCGTAGCGTAGCGCTTCCAGCGTTTCACTAGAAGTTTTCGCTAGGCCTTTGGCAGCGGCGGGGCTAGAGAGTAACGGAGAGCTAAGGAAGAGTACAAATGCTCTCAATTGTACTCTTCCTGATCACTGCCTCAATACATCTCTAGCCCTGCAAACGCGTAACGACCACGAGTGAAACGCAGGGTGTCGTGGTTCAGAGGCAAATCGCCCTGCTGATTCCCTCAGCACGACGCAATACAGGTAGTAGAGCCGCCCGTGAGCCCCAGACGGCTAGGCTCACGTCATCGGCGCAGAGGCGCGAGCGCGAGGAGCCGCTCCGGGCCCCAGTGCAGCCTGGGCCGCCTCCCCGAGGGTCCTGCAAGGTTCCTATCCCTGGGGGGGGGGTCGTCGGGGGGGGGGAACCTGCGGTAGCACTGTCCCCGAGAGCGGCTGGTCACCCCTGCCGGCGGCCCACAAGGACGCTGACGCAACGGGATTTCCTGGCCTGCCGACGCACAACCGGTAGGACAAAGCATAACACACAAGCCTACAGAACTGCATGACACAACATCCTACAGCGCCTTGGTCGGGCCCCAGCCCTAGCGCTCCCCGTGCGCGTTGCCCAATACGATAAACAACCAAACACATATTATACAATACTCCCCCCCACATTTGTCGCGGGAAACCTGAACATCTGCCAACTTCCTTCTCCTACTCTCATTCCTGCCGTTGTGGACGACCAATCCATCGGACCATAGTTGACATAGTTCGCGGTAAGAGCGGCAAGGTTACTCTGCCGGCCTGCGCGAGTGATAGTCCTCGTGGCGACAGGTGCCACTCGGACCTGCACTCCACGTGAGCGCCTGACATTGACCAGGGCACAGCATTCGATGGGGATTTTGGTCGAGCTCGTACGACCCCCCCCCTTTTTTGGGGGTTCGGTACGACCCCCCCCTTTTTTTTGGTTTGGGTTTTTTTTTCACACAAAAACACACGCCAAGCTTACAGACTTCATCTTCATTGTAAAGACAAAGAACAACTATATAACATGGCAAACAAAGAATACCGTTAAAGAACCACTGATACAAACCACTATTATCAAAACTAGCTAAGATCAAAAAAATCAACTTCATGAATAGGAGATAAACGAGAAAATGAAACGAAAGGGTCCTAATCGAATACTCGAAGAAAGTTTCTCCCAAACGATTTGTTAACAACAAATGCAAATCCAGTGTTGTGGCGCAGGGACCCTGGCCCAACGTGCGCACTTGATTTGAGGGGCAGAATTTCCGCAGAAATCGTACGGTAGCAGAGTTGGGTATGAATTGCAGCTTTGACTGGAGCAAACGGCTATTAGCGCCATGGGCGTAGATTTCCGTTTGAGGGAGGTGTCTTTGAAGGACCATAACTTCCTCAAAAGCGGACCTGTGGGGAAGAGGAGAGCGTATTGGTAAATTAGAAGGTTTGATCTTCCTGAAAGTACTAAAATGTTCATGAAGGTCGCGAAAATCACAGAGAAATCTGCCATAGGGATTCGTTGGGGAGTGGTTTCAACCGAACAGGTTTGAATCAATATATTTTTTTTGTAACTCAACATTTCACAAATCTGAGAACGGATCCGAGCTTCTCAAGATTTTCTCTTTCTAAAAACCTATTGAACTGTTCCTGAAGCTCTCGGGATTCATGAGATCTCGCGATGGGGATTTCTTAGGGAGCACTCCCAGCCGCGCGAAAAACCCGTTTCCTGTGTACCGTTCAAGTGAGCGTGTTCGAATAGCCAGGAACGCATGTAGAACGTATCCTGTGGTGGAGCAGGAGCAGGATATGGTTCGTCTCTTAGCGCCCGATCACGTCAAGATTTGGATCGCCGCGCATCTGCAGGGCCGGCGCAGAGGTGATGGGATGGTGCAACTTGTGCGTAATGTCTGTTCACGCGAGCAAATGTCTCTATGAGGTTCAGGGAGGTCCATGGCGAGCCTGTGCACTTGTTTACAGTGTTTTCCGTTGCGTATGATGGAACATGTCCCTGTCAACGCTGCCAGATTCGTGCTCCTGCCAATCGCTGACTCCGATAAAGGAGACCAACTGCTGGAAAACGTCTGATATGAACGATATGGTAGTCCTGTCGCTTGTCGAGAAAAAAACAGGTTGGCTCAGCGCCAAGCGACCGCGGACACGCCATATCATTGGCAGCGAACCAGAGTTTGACTGTTTGTACTGTTTAGTCACCAACGGACCTACGAGATGATGTCGACTTATTAATATTTGCAGTTATTTCGGATTAGTTTGATGAATGAAAGTTTTGTACTATTTTTTGCATATCCGAGTTCTCTACAAAGCAAGTTTCGTTGTACAGGACTCAGCACATTGACAATTTGCGCTGGTCGTTACTGGCTGCCGCACTCACTTACAAGACGACCCCGCCCCCCCTCTCCTGCGGCCAAATACACCTGTTGGGGATTCGCCCAACAACGATGTGCCCTGGCATTGACCTTCTCTGCAGGCAGGAAAGGAGTACTTTCCTTCCCGCAGGGAAGGGATGCCAAGAGAGCAACGCTGCGCGGAGTCTCTCGCCGGCCGCTTTATATAGCAGCACGCAGCGGGACATCACGTGGCCCGCGCCTATTGGTTGACGCGGAGCAGCGCATAGTTTGGCCGTAGGGCGCGACAGAGCTCACAGGCGCCGTACGCGAGCCCGGGGCAACGAGTCGCCGTTCTCGCGGACACTGGGAAGCGCTAGATCGATAGCTATGCTTCCCGTGCCCTCGCTACGCTAGCGTACGCTGGTGACGCTGGGAACGCTAGATCGATATCTAGCCTTTCCCCGACACCTGCAGACTGGTACCTGGAAGCCGCTAACGCTACAGCTGCGGCTCGGCAAAAGTATAACGCAGCCTCCATGATGCGCTCTCAGAGACTAGAACGCCCCAATCCCCAGGTAGCTAAACGAAGGGAGAGTTGCTAAGAGGCATACTATCTCCTGGCGAGGCGCAACTCGTCGCGTACGCCTCCTCTCGGTGGCAGTGAAGCAACAGGTCCTGAGGAGTCCAATAAACTCTTTTTTAATTTCACTCCCAACATTCTCTGGCCTCAAACTCACACCAGGAATGACTAGTCCTCCGTTTGCCAGAGTAACTTTATTTTAACGGCTTCTTGTCCAGGAAGATCACGATCTGGCTCCTGGAGGCTGGGCACTTGTGTTGCCGGCGGTGAACCTGGTGGTGTCTACGAGTACGCAAAAGAACATGGAATTCCACACGAGACCTGCAACAACTATCAAGCCCGTGATGGACGTAAGTTGAAGGATATTACACAAGATTTTTTTACGCCTGCAAAGTTTACGAAGAGTAAGGCCATAACGTAGGCCTAGGCAATGGTGAAGACGTGTTGTTCATAGTTGATGGCGTGCTCGAACACCCCCGAACTCCAAGCAGTAAAAGATCACTATTGAACTATTCTACCCCTCTTCCGAAATCTGGCAGGTTTTTTACCAACTTTTTTTCTACGAGGGTATATATGGCTGAAAATCTGCTTCTAAGGGTAGTTCGACCTCATAAATATGAAAATCCTATCCGCTTGGCCCGAAACCGCCTGGCACCCGCGACAAAACACCCTAAATCTCCAGATTCGCTGAAAACTTACATGTGGAGATTATTTGACGTCCTGATTATGATATGAACAACTTTTTCTTGCGCGCGCGCGTTAGAGAGGACACTACGATGATCTGCCCTTGCTAAGTGAGCCCTGGCCTAAGGGAATCGCTTCTTCTCAGTTCAGCTTCAGCAGATCGCTATTTGCGGTGATCAGGGCACGATTCCGGGGAAATTGTGTGGCGCATCACGTATGTGAATTCTTGGCGGATCGGCGCGATGCGGCGATAATCGCGACACTCATGAACACCGCCCAAATTTTTCCTAGGCTTTTGCTGCCTCGGGATGGCAACTTGTACGTAAACTTGATCGGCCACTGCATAGTATCTTGGAATCATACCAAATCTAACCCCTAATTTCTATAGAATGTAAGAGCAGAGTTTTATGTGGAGAACGACGCAAGCAATCAGTTCCGCGTCACTTCTCACTGAGCTGGATGTATAACTGAAACTACTCTGAACACTGAACTTCAGGATGCGATCCCTACAATCGATGCGGGTCATGCTGGCCGGGCGACTGCTTCTCAATCAAAAAACTATACTCTTTACAAGGTCAAGGAGTACGGTAAGTGAAATGGCAAAATACCGTAACATTACTATCTCATTATGGTAAGCATTTCCCTCAAGTGGTAGCGGCTCCGCACAGTTCTTTATGAACCCGAAATGTAAGGCATGAGGCACAAGATAGGCCCTTTCACCCTTATCGGCTAACAGCGTTCTGTTACGGGGCACTAATACCGCGCATGAGCTGGGTCTTCTTTGATCTAAAAAGCTCGGAGGTGGGTATGCAAAAGGACTGGACACTACATCAGTTCCATGAGTGCCAGTCACTGCCAGGAGTGGGTGGCAATGGTGCTCTGACGTATGTCATCGGCGATGTTTCCGGCATCAACACACTTGATTTTTCGCGATGTAGCAGTGCTGCAACTTAATGTTGCTGAAGGGAGTCATGGTCTGCTAGAAAAGAAATTGGTTAACAAGTAGGCGGCAGCGGTTTTCCATTAGCGCCGAAAGGGCCAATCTTGATAAAAGTTTAATGCGGAAGGATTTCTATGTGTTGCTAACCTGTGGCGGTAGTCGCGGCTCCAATCCAAGAGCAATCTGATTGTCAAAACTATCAAAAGTACCAGCACCGTCAATACTATATTGATACAGGAACAGTAAGAGGAATGGATAAGATGAAAGCAGAAATTTACCACAATGGTCCGATCGCATGCGGAATCGCTGCTACAAAGGCGTTCGAAACGTACGCAGGAGGAATCTACAAGGTGGGCTTGCTACATTTACTACAGTCCGCTCATCGAATTGCGGACCGGTGGGGCGTGTCAGCCAGAAGGAGTGCGCACACTGTTGAAGCCGTTCTCAGCCTTTTTTGTTGCAACGCGTATGCGACAAAAAGTGGTAGAAAACGAGTAATACGAAGGATATTATACAGTAATGCACTTGTTCGCTTCAAAAACTGGTGCAGAACGACTTTGCCAAACCGCACCAAATGCAGCCGCACTGCACGCCTAGCCCGGTCTGCAATACGAGAGGACTGTACTTCTACACAGCTATCCGCATCCAAGTTTTTGAAGTGTGGAGGAGAAGCAAGAGTTTTTAGATGACTTTGAAAAGTCTAAGATACTCTTGCAGCTATTTGTTTATCTATTGTTTACGTTGCTTTAGGAGGCCACCAATGACGATATTGACCACATCATTTCTGTTGTGGGATGGGGTGTTGACCGGCATGACAGTGAGTCGAGTACTGATTGGACAGAAACTCATGGGGTCGCGCGCCTGGGCGAACAAGGATCGTTTCGGTGGGTCAACTCCCACTTACAAAGATGCCGGAAGCAAATACAATTTGAAGGTAAGAGTTTTGCCAATGTAGGATGTGGACGCTAAGAGACGTGATGAAACCGTTACCGTGTACTAATTGCTTTGCTATGCCCTGTTTCTGTGATAGGTAGGAAAATTTTCGGGAACTCCTGGGAAAAATGGTAGACAGTTGGGGAAAATCCCCTTCCCTCGACCTGGGGAGGGAACCAGAGGGAGTCGTGCCAACCGTCTAAAAAGGAGTGGGGTCGTAAGGACCGGACTTGACTATTATCCCGACTAATGATATGCCCCCTGTCCACAACGCCCAGACGCAGCGCTGATCAGGGGGAGCGTTACCAGGAATTCTGCGCAATAGTTCGGCAAGCGCTTCAGATGCTTCTGAAGGAATGGATTCACAGCTGGCCTCATAGTAAATTTGGTGTTAACGTAGTTTCCTCGTAGACGACTAGCAGCGCCTCTTTGTCCCTTCCCAAAAGCAAGGCTTAGAACTCACTCGAGTTATCTTCCCTGCCAAACTAGCCCTGCTGCGACTTTAGTCGTCTGCACCCTGACGTAATTCTCGGTTAGAGAAACGGATCCAGAGGCGCGTTGGCTGTTCCCTCTACCTCTTATTCACCTTCACTAGGGCAGCAAACTTCACAAAATAGTTGCTGAGACACCTAGACCTGCAACATTCTCGGGCTTGTCTGCGCTCTCTCACGAGACCTAATTTTCGTTCATGTCTTTTCGTTCAACGTGCCCTCAAACTGTCTGTAAAGCGCGCGCGATCCTTTGTAGCTCCCAAACAGATGGCAAGGGCAAGCGCATCACGTTCGCTTCTAGTTTATAAAATTCTCCAGAGATCTCTCCCCGCAGAACTATATATCTTTCATGGATTTTTAGCACTTCCACAGTCACCTGAGAGGGTAGACCGTTGACTTCTTGGCACACATATTAGCGCTTACATTTACTCAGTCGACTCAAAGCCACGAAACCTTTTGCTTATTTGCAGCCACGTACCATCGGCACCCAAAACCTGAGATGTGGGCAGCGTATACTGCGCAACCTTTAGGGTGCTATTTTATTCTGGCACAACTATTGTCAAATCTCTGTGCAACACACAACAACATGACAGTTGCCCACGAGCAGCCCAGTATATGCCGTCTTTGAATGCCACGCCCCACTCCATGTCCATGTCAGGATGACGGAAAGTACATCTCTACAACACGATTGCTGAAAAAAAAATTGTGATCATTTTAGATCGAGGAGGACTGCGTGTGGGCGGATCCCATCGTGGATTGAGATGGAATTCGATCGGCGGGATTTTTACAATATCTGTGAATAGCTGATTCATGTAGAATATCAATAAAGATTCATTGCAGTTTTTTTTTGTTGTTAGAAAATTCTGAAGCACCTGCAATGGCCGAGCTACTACAGTCAAAAAAACAGTTCTAAACAATGCTCTTTTTTCGAGTTTCGGCTCCAAGCGCCAGCTGAGTCGAGCTTTGTTTCTTCCTGTTCCTTTCCTTTCCGTTACGCATACCTCTTCTAGTCTCACCCAAACCCTTCAGTTCCTCTCTCGAGAACGCCAGGAGTGAAGCGCGGCTGAAGCTCATTGAGGGTGATGACGACAGCTGGGCGAGTAACACGAAACACCGCATCGAGCAATAGGAGAAAATGCTGGCTGATTTCAAATGCGAGTGTGGGAAAATCGGTTTGCAGATGAATATGACGAAGATGATCTCCTTGAAGAACGGGCTGGTTTCTGATGCCCTCGCCTTGACAGAACGTACTGAAAGGATTAGCACTAAAGTTGAGCAGGAGGCAGCCGAGCAGCTTGGAAGCCTTCAAGAATATCGATGAAGGGGCGGAAAAAACAAAGAACACCTATTTTTCGTGGCACTCCTTTCAGTTTTGCGCTCCTACATCACGAAATGGAACGCCCTGTTATCATAAGACGATTACATGTGGCTCTTCGTAGGAATTCGCTCAGCCACGGATTGTTTGAAATGGCAGCACTTCGTGAGATCTGCTTTCCCTTGGCCCATTTTTTTTCCGAATTAGCGTAAGCAGTTTCAAAGCAATCCACTTCACAAGGTAGGGTGCATTGTGGCGTCGCTTCGATTCACCAGTGACGCAACTGCAGTAGTGCAATAGTTCGTCTATTACCGTAATCTCCATTTTGAACACAGACTTCTTGAAAGCTGCTTCCAGTTACGGCCTTCGTTCCTGTGCTATTTTTTTTTACTTTTGCTTCTAGTATGAATGGTATTCAAAATATGGGATGGGAACGGTTGTGACCTTGTAAACCAAGGAATTGTGATGATGAAATGGTAGTGTAAGTACGATCCCCGAGGGAGGGTCATCGGTACAACTCCTTCCCCATACACCGCCCCTACCACTTTCCTAGAATGTATACCGAGCTAGCGTAGCCAGTTTTTCCACGCCAAAAAATTTCCGTCGGGCGGTGGGTAGGGGGGTGGGGGAGTAGCAGCATGTGAAAACGGGAAAAGATGTCCTTAGATCTCCCCAACATCCTAACCACTTCTTTCTCTATCTGCTGTCGACGCAGGAGAATGGTGGGGGGGGCGGAGGTATAGCCCCATGTGAAAAGGGAAAACAACCCGGCAAAAAAATTTTTTGCCTCAACCGGACGAAATCTCTCAAAGGCCCATGAACCCCCTCCCTCTCCCACCGAGGACCAAATTCGACCCCATTCCCCAGCAGCCAAGTACGAACCCCTCATGTGTTTCACACGACGATGCTGTACCCTGTTCGAATGCATTGGGTCACGACGATGCTGTACCGTGCCTGAATGCATAGGGGTCGCAGGGTATAGATTTGCCAGCAAGTCCGAAAAACTCGGCACAATTAGATTGACAAGGGAGGTCCTTATCTAGAGTGTTCTTTAGGGTATCACTAGTAGCACAACTTGTTTTGGAGCCAATTAAGGCCAAACGTTTCTGTGACCTTGTATGGAACCCCAGCATACGATTATTTTACGGAGATTAAGTTTCAGCCGTTCGTAATCTACTTCAAGAAACTTAACGAATACCAGTATGCCTGAAGTCCATAGAACTAGTCTGAAGTCCCCAGCTTCCGACTCACCAGATCTTCGTTTTCTACTCAGCTTGTTCGTTCTTCTGCAGAGTTTCTCAGCAAGAAATTCGAACAAAGACGAATGGCTACACTCGTCTCGCACGATACAATAAGACAAAGCACCAGTGAGAGTGGGCTGTCGGACGGACAGCTGGCTGGCACGAAGCTGTAAAAAATCTCGTATTACGAAACTTTTTCTCCAAAGAAAAAACAGTGAACGATTGCAAGACAAATCTTTTTCGACGTTCATTATTTTTTGAGACTTTTTCTGGAATCAACGTCTACTTTGAGAAAAACTAGAGAGCACGTTCTTTTACCGATACAAAATGTGGGAGATTCGAAGCTCAGGAGCCCTTCAATGTTGTTTGACTCGAAGCCTCCACATCGCCGATTTCACCGTAGGCAAGATCACTCAAGAAATATTATCGAAACAACCACTGAGTCCACCAGACACTGAACTTTCGAGACTGAGCTCGTGGTCATCGTTCGGGTACTGCCGAAGAGTGAAATACTTTTTGACGAACTTCATTACTTGTATGGAGATTTTTTCCGTTTTATGACTAGCTTTTCTGTCCCTTTCCCTCAAAAGAGAACCAGAGAACTCTAACGCGTTCTAGAAACGAGGGAGACTTTAGCCACAGCGCTGATACAGGTGACCCGCTGACATGCTCATGGCTCTGCTGCTTGATTTCCCACTTTTTTGCCAACGTATTAGAACTGAATTACTTGTTACTAGAAAGACTAAATGGACGACTGGAAGATGGTGATGGAAAAAAGGAGCGCTCTACACTAAAAGAACACCAGTGAGAGCTGGTCCACACTTTAGATTTGGAATGGTTATCAAGTCCATCGTTAGCAACATTATTGGGATGGCGACGAGCTCCGGTTTCTGTGGACCATCATAAATTTTTAATTTTTCAAGCATGTCTATTCACCATTTCAATGAAAAACAACAACAAGCAAAAACAACATGCTGAGGGATTCCTGTATCTAGGCCATCAGCTAGGGTTAGAATTCACTGTGCGTGATTGAGGCGGAGGTGGTGTAGTGGCAAGTGGCACGCTTACCACGTCCATGGTCCGAGGATCAAATTCTGGACCGGCTCAAGCCCAGGCCAATCCAAGCCCTCTACTTCCGGGGACGGTAAATTGGTACCAGATTCGTCTGGGAGGATAAGAACACTGACTTGTACATCGGCTGGCCCGCAAGTCATTGTATAGGCCACATCGCATTCAGTAAGCCACTGCGATTCTAAATGGAAGTGAAATGCGTGCGCATCCCAAGAAGGGATTGGTTGACGCTGAAGACTTTATCCTTTTTTATGGGTGATTACCGAACACAAATTTATTATTAACAAAACGACAAGCGAAAGTAATCCCGGCAGCCTTAGACAACGCCAAAACCCAGACCTAATGTCACGCAACCCAATTTCTTAAAACCCATGCAAATGCGGAGATACACCGACTTAGCACTAATTGTTTTTGACGATGACACGCGTGTCGCTAATGAACTCTAGCAGGTCACTGGCTAATGGCCCCAGTACTCACTCCATCTATCATAACGACCTCCGATTGTTTGAACTTTTCCGCTCAGATGAACACCTCTAAAAGAAGTCCCGAGACAATCTATTGTGTCGCGAAGGGCAACGAAGGTGGAATAGGATAACGGACTCCAGTGCACCCATGCAAAAAGGCCATGGGTGTTCTTTCATGACAGCAGGCTAAAATCAGCCGCTCAATCTACAGAAAAACTCACGATCATTCATGCAAAAGGGAGTTTTCCTTAGAGGATAAAAAACTTCCCGCTCCTCCCCCATCATCTCCATTTGTGCCACCAACAATGGAACGTGGAAGAAAACTTGCAGAACGACATCGCGAAGGCATAGCTGACGTCGCAATCAGCCGAGGCGGTGTTAGCAAGGGTCGAGTGAACCCGCCTTCTAGCTTGCTCAACCAATGGTGATCGGTTAGCAAACGACTTAGGAAGGAAACAGCCAATGGAGGAACTCATTCATGCCTCTTGTGACCCCCCCTCCTCCTCCCGATTGATTGCGATGATATTAACTGTATTTGACAACACAAAAAGGAACACTTCTATTACAACGAAGGAGTGCGGCTTAGGTAAAATGCTCCACACCATCCAATCACCTCTACGAAACTGAATGGCTGACCAGTACATGGCGCAAACCAAGCACCACGCGGTGAAACCAACTTTGCAATTGATAGCTGTCCCATTTTCTGCTGTTAACTACCGAATACAGAACACAATTCTGCTGGCCACCATTTCAAACACACAGCGCAGAACAAAAATCGAATGTAATGCACACCCACGAAATGTCACTATGAACCCTCGATTTTATGTATAGTTTTATTTCATATGAATGAAAAAGTACATACAACGTAGCAATAAATAATAATGGTACATGAATAAACGCAGTGTGATTTCCTTTGAGGGACGACGTTATTGATTTCTGTGAGTGAATCGATATATCGATTAATATTGACATTTTGTAAGAATAGGGTACTAGTGGGGAATACAAAAATAACAACATTATACAATATATAAAAACTAGGCTTTCAGCTCCTACTACCACAAAACCGGGCAGAGGGTGCTTATAGCGGACGGGCAGCGTGCGATCCATCATCGTTGAGAGGAGGCATCCATTGAGAGGAATTTCATATGTCGTCGAATGATGAAAGTGAGAATAAAAGCGGCGGTGATTTCATAGAGGCACCATGGGATAACCATAGTTTTTGAGTTATCCCCGACCTACACACACAACCGATAAAATTGGAAATCTAGAAAAAAATAATAAAACAAAAAATTATAACAAATCAGGGTCAAATCAGGGAGTGCGTGACGGTCATTCTAGAGGTGTTCAAGGGGGAAAAAATTCAATAAATCCATAAAACCTTTCAGGATAGACGGGGAAGGGAAAAACAACATGAAACAAGAAATGCACACTGAGCATTTAAATAGCGAAAGCCAGATTAAATAGCAGTTTAGTGGAAGCTTTCTGATATAAAACATCGTCATCGACCCGCATGCATTGTGAACAATGTGTCTGTGAATGATGAATGAATAAAAGAATGAGTGTATGAAATAATGGTCATCATATCATTATCATCACCATAATATCAGTTACCTAAGAATGAAAGATTAGTAGAGAACTCAGAAGATGAAAAATGAACCAAATCAAGATGAAAAACAACTAAAAAATACTTTTGATATATATGTAGTGTAGTCAAAATACTTTTCACCGAGATATCGATTGGCTACAGATCATCACGAAGGAATGGACACGATTTGGGGGGTGGGATAGTAAGAGAGGGCGCTATTCTGACAACGAAGAACAACTTCGTCTAATTTCCTATTCATGGCGTGAAGCGCTGCTCCCACGTGGCCTGAAAATATTTTCAATAAATAACACTATTTTATAAATCTAAAAACAATTGAAGACACAATATAAGATACTAAGGCGGAATAATTTTCAATTAGCACCATTATACAGGAAAATATCGTCAATAAGATCCCACAAAACTAGAGACGTGCCCGAAAAGAACTAAAAGGTAAGTTGAATGAAGGGGAAGAACTCGAAAAAAAATGAAGTCGTCCATAAATATATCTTCTAAATAGGACAGACAGTTTCTTCCCCAGGAGGATCATGAGCTATCTCCCTGTTTATCAGACCCTTAGAGTCCTGACTTTCTTCACTGAGCAGAAACTTTAACTAGCTAGAAGAACCACTGAAAAAAATTTTTCTCCGGTGTTTTATCGTGGAACTGTTTTGTAGAAAATATTGCTTGATAATGAAGGATATAAACTCAATTATATCCCGCAATTGGCCTACACTCCCCATGACGGTAGCGTAGACTCTCAAACTTCTTGATAAGTTCTGTGATCAGCCCGTGAGTGGCATCACCACCTA